CATACACCTCCCTAGCGGCTTGGTAATATCGAAAGCACACTGCGCCTACATACTAGGCCACGCAGTACAGCTGTTCCCACAGCTTGCTCATGCGGACCAAGTCCCCAGAAAGTAAGAAAGAGCATATCGCCTACGTCCCCCTCACACTCAACTTCATCCCCGCCGCCGGAATCTACCTACACCTCATCGCGTCCAAAACCTCCCAACTGCAAAACCTGCTCCTCTACATAACAACCTCTCTCCAGCGTATACGCACATTTTTCAAGCACGCAACCGACCTCCCATCGAAATTCATGCTCAACATCTCCGAACCCCTCGAGGAAAAAGGTCTCGGCGACCTCGTCACAAATCTCTTCCACATCGCCTGCACAGGAAACTGTCCGCCACTCATCAAAAACTGGCTCGTCGACGAATTGACCGAAGCTGGGCATAAGAGATGGGATAATACTGTCACCACAGGCTTAAATGCCGTCCTAGCGATTGTCCATGAGAACCTCGTCCCCGCCATCGATCGCTGCAGCATCATCATCTCGCGGCTCCGGGGGCTTGCGGAATTCCACCGCGACCGCGAGTGGATTTTCAACACACCGGCTGATTTCACCGACTTGCTTGAAAGCTTGAAGAATCTGCGCTTGCTGGCGCACACGGTGATGCTGTATGGCGCCGAGGAGAAACGCAATTTCGCGCACTTCAGCAAGTGGCTGCGCTTCTGTATTGATTTCGAAGCCACCGAGGCGGAGAGCCAGAGTCGCGTGGAGATGGAGGCGCGCGATCCGGGGGTGGACATCATGCTGGTGCTCGAGTATATTCAGTTCGGATTGGTCAAGTCCAGTCTCGCGCCGTATCTACGGGAAGCGCATGGGAAAGGGGAGAAGGTCGGGTACGAGGATACGAAGCGCGCGGTTGAGGTGTTGAAAGATGGGGGTGGGTATAGGGAGGACGCGGTGTGTTTGGAGAACGTACTCGGGCAGTTGAGAGAAGGGGTGAAGGGTGTGTTGGGGCAGGTGGGCAGGTGGCAAGAGGGGAATGTCCGGATGGATACGGGCATCGTCTTAGAAGAAGCCAGCGATGAGGGTACGCCGTTGGATATGCGCATGGTGGTTGAAGTACGTCCCCCCAATTCCCTCTCCCTATCCTTTCAAATACTTACCCAACGCAGCCCTCCACACTATCAACATACATCGCCCTCTCCCCGCCCTCCTCAAACGCACTACACATCCACCGGATCGCCAAAGACAGCGCGTCACATGCTATATCCACGCTCTCCTTCCCGCGCGCCTCATCCGTGCTGGATGCGAAATTCGCAGACGATATGCACCTGCTCGTTCTCCTGCAAACCCCCATCGACGCCGAGGAGAAAGCAAATCTCATCCTGAGCATACCCTACACGCAAGCCTCGGCCGTGACATACACGCCCGTGCCAGACTCCGTCCTGGCTTCAACGATGTTGCCCCAAGGAGCGCGGGCGCCTGACACCGTCCGGACGAATCACGATATAACGACGGACATGGTGGAGCAGTACACGCGGCATGTGTTTGAGGGCAGATTCACGCCGCTCAGGTTAGTTGTGAATGGGCGCAAGGGCAGGAGGGTGGTTGTGGTGTTGGGCAGTGATCGGAAGCATTATCGCGTGCTGGATTTGGATTATAGGAGGACGGGGAAGAGGGTGGATGAGAGTAGTGGGAGTGAGGATGACGGAGAGGAGGAGGAGGATGAGGATGTGGATATGGGTGGAGCTTGAGATGATTAGCGAGTACGTAAAAATAAGAACAGACATGATCACGCATGAGGTGGATGAGGTACAGTGTTTGGTATACGTATCGTTCACATTGCCAGAATTCACACTAGATGCATTTTTCGGAATCACATTCCCCTTAAGAACCTATCGTGCACGCACAAGCCATGTAAAGCCCAGCCTGCCAAGAAGTTTCGTTGTAACGCCCAGCCACCCGCAGAGAGAGGTATGGAGAGAATAACCGTTTGCATCCATGTCATTGACCCATATCGACGCCACCGTATCATGCACCACTCTAGTCCTTGACCTTCTGGGTACCACGGAGCAGACCCGTCCTCCGCGCGGCGATGAGACCAGCCTTTTGACCCTGGACGGCGTACCGCGAGATGGTAGAGGCCTTACCGATATGCTGGTGGTTACCACCACCGTGGGGATGGTCGACGGGGTTCATGGCAACACCACGAGTCCTGGGCCAGCTGTTGCGCTTGGCAGCGAACTATGCGTTGTCAGTCTACATATTCATAGCACACTAGGAAAAGACGTACCTTGTGCTTGGCGCGCGACGCCTTCATGAGAGGCTTGTCTGTACGGCCACCACCAGCGACGATTCCGACCATACCACGGCAGGTGCTGGGGAGGACCTTCTTGGCACCAGATGGGAGCTTGACACGGGTCTTGCCCTCATCAGGGTTGTGGCCGATGACAGTAACGTAGTTACCGGAAGTACGGCCGAGCGCACCACGGTCACCGTTCTTGTCCTCGACGTTGGTGAGGACGGTACTCTCAGGGACGGAGTGGAGGGGCAGGATGTTGCTCGATGGTGAGAGCGGCGTTCTTTCC